CTTCCCCACCTTTCAGTCCTGTGGCACCAGAGGCAGAGTGCGCCCCGGTGCTGCCCCGGGATTGGCCTCCCTCAGTTCAGTGGATGCCTGAATTTTGCCTTATCGAAACCCAGTAAGGCGGCGCCTACGTGGGGAGACATTCTCGGAGGCACGCAGTTAGGAAGGGCCTGGAGTAAGATGCTAAGAACAGGGATTAAGCCCCAATGTCTAGAATCTTAAGGAAAACAGATACTGTCTCTTGTAATCCTCACAACAAACATTCGAGGTGGCTCTCATTTCCAGGTGTCAGTTCAGGAAAATAACGTTAAGTAACTCGTCCAAGGGAACTGGTCAGTGTGCAGTAACGAGTCGGGAGTGCAGCCCGACTCAGAGTCTGTCTGGTCCCTCCGCCCCCGCATTACTTGCCTCCTATCGGAACGCCTTTCTGGCTTTCTAAGCGTGGACTTCATTTGTTCATGGCTTTAACTAACACTTAAACGTGTTCATTCTTTCTCTTCTATGTAAATATGTGGAGTGAGGGAAGGGAGGAGAGAAGCCGAGGTGAGAAAAAAATCTCTGCTGATTCTTCTTTGTGTCTCTGGGTATGTGGACCATCCCCCCTCCCCCCGCCGCGCCCCTATCAGTTTCCTTGTTTGCCTATCCAGATGCATTGGATCTTAGAATGGTTGTCTCTCTGGCCACACTGGCCCACCCATCAGAGCACCGGGCGCTTCATGAAGACCTTTCTCATGTACCGCTTAGCTTGTCTTTACAACATCCCTAGGAGAAGCATGGACAGTTGTTGGCCAGACTGGGGATTGTTGAAGCAAAGCCAAATGACAAAATGGCAAAGCTGCCTTCTTAGCATGGGCCAGCCTGTGGATTTTTCTGAACGCAAACCCATCTCACACGACCTTAAACCCAGTGTTCTGCCAACCTTGACAGTCTACAGAGTCTACTCCTCTGTAAGAAACCTCCCACACTGCTGGGAGGAATCTGCAATCACAACTTTATTGTAAACAATGCTTTCAGATGATGTCTTTTTTTTGTTTGTTTTTTTCGATACAGGGTTTCTCTGTGTAGCTTTGGAGCCTATCCTGGCACTCGCTCTGGAAACCAGGCTGGCCTCGAACTCACAGAGATCTGCCTGCCTCTGCCTCCCGAGTGCTGGGATTAAAGGCGTGGACCACCAACGCCCGCCTAGATGATGTCTTAACATCCCTGAGAGCATTTCAATTTAAAGCCTGAGTCTTGGTTAGGGTTCCTACTGCTGTGATAAAACATAGTGACCAAAAGCAAGCTTGGGGAGGAAAGGGTTGTTTTGCTTACTCTTCCATATCACAGGGAGTCCTGGCAGGAACCCCAGGCAGGAACTGAAGCAGAGGCAGAGCCGGAGAAGGAATGCTGCTTACTGGTTTAGTTCCCTACTTAGTCTGCTTTCCTACATGGTCCAGGACACCTGTCCCGGGGTGGCATGGCTCTCAGTACACTGGGCCCTTCCACACCAGTCTTAATCCAAAGAATGTATTACAGATTTGCCTCAAGACAATCCAATAGACATTTTCTAAATTGAAGTTCCTCTTCCCAGTAACTAACTCTAACTTTGGCTTGTGTCAAGTTGTCAAAAAAAAAAAAAAATTCTCAGGGGCAATCAGTAAGCAGATTTCAGCATAAATGGTTCAAACGGAAAGGTCATTGTGATGAAGCTCCTGGAGCAAGGGCAGGGGTAAAGAACCAGGGAACTTGATATATCTAGTATCTGGCAACAGCTGGAAACAGACCACCAATAGAGTTGCAGGAGGGCTGAGAAAAATGCCCCCCTTAAACTGTTCAGAGCCACTAACCCTGAAGGGTGTGTTTGCATCTGTCAGGTGAGGGATTCCAGGAAAGGCTCAGAACTGCTATCGATCCAAAGGGAACTTCAAGGGTGTGGGAGTGGGGTGCCAAGTGAGCAGGACAGATTTCCCCTCCGTGGCCACACACCACCTTCTTGAGGGCCCGAAGGGCACTTGCAGCATATGTGTTCTGAGACAGGTCACATACATTTCTCCCAACATATACTGGAGAGCGACCATGATCATAAACTATGAAGACAAAGCACTAGCAGGGTGACACACACCTATAATCTCAGCACTTTGGAGGTGACTGCAAGAGGATCAGGGGTTCAAGGTCATCGCTACCTTGTGAGTAGAAGACCAGCCTGGGCTACACCCTTGCCCCAGGGTGGAGGAGACAAGTCATATTTAATGAAATGCTCTACCACACAGGTTCTGAATACTTAACTGGATCCTCTGCAAGAGCAGCCAGTGCTCTTAACCACTGAGCCATCTCTCCAGTCTCTGGGTGGCTCAAAGTGTAACTCCAATCCCACAGGATCCAACATGCTCTTCTGGTCTCCTAGGGCACCGCACACGTGTGGTATACAGACATAGATGAAGGCAAAACACTCATACACACAAAATGATTAAATAAAATGTACATCTAGTGGATATTAGAGATTCCTGTGTGTGCATACATCAAACAATTCA